CCCAGATCTGGGTTTTTCTCAAACCCAGATTCCCCTGTGAGCTGCTTGGTGGTAAGGGCGGGGTTTGGTTGGTCCTTCAATTGTTGGAGTTCGGCTTCATGTTCTTCAGCGTCGAGCGCCCAGGCGCTAGGCTTGCCCCATGGAGATGAACCCAGTTCTGGGTTTCGTGAAGGAACCCAGATCTGGGTTCCTCAAGGAACCCAGATCTGGGTTCCTTGAAGGAACCCAGTTCTGGGTTCCTCAACTGGGTTCCTTCACGAAACCCAGTTCTGGGTTCCTTGAGGAACCCAGTTCTAGGTTTCGTGAAGGAACCCAGATCTGGGTTTCGTGAAGAACCCAGTTCTGGGTTTCGTGAAGGAACCCAGATCTGGGTTCCTGGGTTCCGTGAAGAACCCAGTTCTGCTTTGTTTGGTTGCTCTGTTTCAATTTTGAAGATTGTCTTTGTTTGATTGCTCTGTTTCAATTTTGAAGTTATTCTTTGTTTGATTGCTTTGTTTTCGTTTGGCCTTCGAGAACTCAACTGAAACTGGAAAAGGAAAACAATTTTTCATGTGGGCCCCACAAAAATTGAATCTGAGAAGGGAGAGCAATTTGACGTGGAAAAAACATGCCACGGTAGCAAAATTTTGTTTGCTGGATTTACACGTCATTAAAAGTAAAAAAAAGCAGTGATTTTGCTGGCATTTTAACGTGCCACCTGTTATTTAACTAACGGAAGGACCATTTTGGTACCCAAAATGAAAGTTCAAGGATAATTTTGGTACTTTTTAAAGTTGAGGGACAATTTTGGTACCAAAGTGATAAGTTGAGGGACTAAAATGGTACTTAAACCATATTAATTTAAAATAAATTTTTAAATAAATCTTCTAAAAAATTGATAATTACAACTCTAGCTGCACTATTCTCTTCTGGCCTGTTTTGCAAGCTCCTTTGATTGGATCAAGTACCGCCTGATGTCTTTTCGGGAAATGTTCAATTCTGTTGAAAAGGCAATTCAAATACCAAGGCTTGCCTGCTTCATTTTCACCAACCACCCTACCAACCCTCTTTTGAGTCGCATTCAATACGAGGTGGGTCACGTTTTAAATAAGTGATTTGTTACTAAATTGTCAGTGAAAATATTATTTTAAATTAAATGTTTGATTAATACGGGATCTACATTGTAGTATTGTATTAATGATTGTTAATTTTTTTAAAAAATAATACTAGAGATTATTATTGAATCGTCGTATTATTGGTGAAAGGTCACACTAAATTTATTTTTATTTTAAAAAATTTATAATTACCTGTAAAATAAAAACTCGGTGATGATAAATGAGCTCTATGTGACTGTAGACATTTGTTTGTTGAGCTAATTAACGACACTGCTCTAGTTAATTTCCTCATCACTTTCCATTCATTTTCCTTGGAGGTTGGTAGGTAGGAAAAGGAAAAAATGGTAGAAACACTTGTGCAATTTATCAGCATTGGAAAGTAGAGGTGGTGTTTAATTTTGTTTTGGGGTCCCACAGAGTTTTTATATGGTTTTTTTAATTAAAAAATGGTTATTAGATAATACAAAAATTTAAACATTTAATTTTATTTTCAAATTAAAATTTTTAAATTAGTTTAATATGGTTCCTTATAAGCCTTTCATTTTACCCACCTCACCAGGGACGTGTAAACATGACTTCATTTGGACAAAGAATAAAAAATATTGCTTTTTTCATATATATTTTTTTATTTATCTTCAAATTAAGTCATCTTATTTAATGTCCAATTCATAAAAGAAAATAAAACATACAACCTCCAAAGTTACAGCCTCCAAAGTTACATCTTCCAAAATTACACACTCTATTATACATTAACATTTTCATTAAAATTAATAATTTTTATTATTTATGCTGTTAAAATTAACAATTTTTATTATTTTTACTGTTAAAATTAATGGTTTCCATCTATTTTAACAGCACACTAATAAAAACTCATCTGATTGTAATGAAGTGTATAATTTTAAATGATGTATATATTAGTATCAATCCATAAAAGAAGAAAATTAAAGAACTACAAAATTAACCAAATCTCAATCTTTCTACAAGTTTTTTTAGGCATGTATGAATCAGCCTCTCAACTTCTTAACTCGGAAAAAAAAATATATATATATATATATATATGCAAATTTTTGACAGAAAAATCACGCGCTACATGTCAATTTTCAATTCCAAACATGAAAGATGAAAAGAATAAGGCATGGTCTATGAATGTGATTTGTTAATTTGGGCCATTTTCTTGTCCCAGGCAACCTAAGCCAAGATTACGTTCATGATAATCATGTTGATTTTTACCCAATAGAAATTCTAACATAAAACGAGATACCACGTTAATACTTAATAGTATTTTCATCTATTAATATAATTTTTTATTTATTAAAAAATTAATTATTTGACATTACAAAGGTTTAAACTTTTAATTTGATTTTAACTTAAAAATTTTAAATTAATGAATACTAATTTATTCAAATATTTGTTTTTTTACCTTAAAC